TAATAATAATAACTTTACAGAATATACTTCAAGTTCAAGTGTGGCAGATGCCATAGAGTTTTAAAATCAAAATTTGACTTTGCCTAACTTCAAAAGAAGTGAGCCTACAGTTAAATTTATAAAAACCTTTGATAAACTTTTTGACTTGTTCAGCTCCAGAAATTTATTAGCTAAAAAATCATAAGAGTCCAATAAGTTATTTGGGAAACCTTTTCACAGTAGAAATAGAAGATTATATTTTTCATAAAACAGACATAACTGGGCAAAGAACTTATGTAACTCAACGTAAAACACCATTTATTGAGTTTTTAACTGTAACCAACTCTGTGCAACAATTATATGAAACTTAGTATTATCACCTCTACCCTCTTTGAAGCATCTTTTAACATATAAATTAAACCAGGATCAATTGTAACTTTTTGTACTGCTGTTAGGACATCTTGTAGTTGTAATAACAAAGTTATCATCCAATAATTCATAGATGCGTATAAGACACTGCTCATACGCCATGAAATAAAAGCAGCACTGTTCAAGTTGAAACATCAGTTTTACATATTGCAAAAGATCACAAGACACTTCCAAGTGGTCTCGCGAATGTTAGGCATGTGTGTGTGTGTGATAAGAAAGTATAATCTCGAAGTATGTGAGCTTACACAGGATGATTATGTCTGGTTATGAACAATCCATCCAATGGGAAGAGGTTATGTTGATATAAAGAATAATAACATCTGTTTAAAACATGATATATTTCGTTACACACAGCCCCCTAACATACTATGAAGGTCAAGTTATCTAGCGTTTGAACACTATATAAGCTGACCACTCTGCATCACTTCTTCAATATCTACAGTGTGGATCGAGAGAAGAGTCTAAAAGGTAGGAACATTTTCACAAGTTCTATCTTCTATGAACTAAGTCTCCGTTGAGTAGAATCAGGAATGGCTTCAAATTAAACTTTTAGTACAAACTTATTTAGTAGAAACATTCACATAAACTAAAAACCTTTAGTAAGACTACATTTGTCGCTATACTTTGTTATTGAAATCTGTAATTCAAAACCTCAATGACTACAACTTATTACTAAAGCCACGTTTATCAGTACTATTTTATCTATTACACCTTTATCAAAAACTGTTCGAGGGAAGGCCTGATTATTTTGCCTTTCATTTATAAGACGAAGAAAACTTGTTAGATTAGCTTACATTTTACTTTGATTTGTTTTGTCTCTTTCACTAGTTTCCTGTTTCAAAAGAAATCTTCAGCCACTATGAAGTATTTAATTTTTAACGGTAGGTAGCAGTCTTTAGTTTGAATATTGTGTTCGTTTGTTTCTGCTCGGTTATATGTTGTATGATTATGGTTATAAAACTAAAATACTAAACATTTCGCCAAGATAGATTTCTGTTCAGCTATATCCTAATTTTGTGTAGTTTAAAATGTTTATTTCTTTTTCAGCTGTCTTTCTGTATTGCTGCTGTTAACGCATTACTGGTATGTTGATATTCTCTGATTTATATCAAATAGACAGTATTAAGTTTTCCATTTCCTTTATATATAAACTTCAATACACTTTATAACCTAGGCTTACCTTATCAATACAGTTATTAGAGGTTTGACTATGTACTTGTAACATCTGTGTAGTTTCCATAGTGGCATTTAGATATGTTCGGCTTCAATTCTGATCAAATCAAATATTAATCTGTTCTTCAATAGGCTAAACGTACAGCTTTCGAACTTCCACCTGGATCTGAGTTTATTGTTGGAGAAATCACAACCGGCTTCTCTTGCGATGGTCTTCCCTCGGGCTATTACGCTGATGTTTCCAACGATTGTAAGATCTTCCACATCTGTCAGACTCTCGCTAATGGGGACCTAAGTGTCGGACATTGGAGCTTCTTCTGTGGTAATCAGACCATCTTCAATCAGATGAGCTTTACATGTGCTTTCCCAGATGAAGCCGTACCTTGTAATTACGCTCCTGATTTCTACTATCTCAATAACAACATTGGAGTCGAGAAAGCTCCCTTCTTAACTGATGAAGACATCGCTAGAGCTTATGCAGTTATCAGCAAACAATAAGAGTGACACACTAAGTTGTCAACAAAAGGAAACGGATTAATAAGCAGAGTATATCCTAGGATTTCGTTAATGAATTTTGTCATTTCATAACTGTTCTGTATATATATATGTGTGTATTTGAACAATAAAATCATTTTACTAACCGAAATATCCTTATACGGTGCTCACTTCTAATAAAGTTCAAAATGATGTTCTCCACTCATTTCATATACATTCACCTTTTAATATGTAAACAAAAGAAACGTCAAGTTTTGTGTTTCTTTTTATTATCTTACCTGGAAACATAGCAGGATAGTATAAAAATTAAATTTTGTTCTTGAAGGTGTTCATCATGTTATTTTGTGACACTGGTAGTTCGATCGTTAAATATTTTCTACCAGAACAGTTTAAAATTTGAACTTTACGTTGTTCAAAACAAGAGATAAGCAAAGTTTACAGCAATGTGTAAAAAAGATAGATT